CTGAATGACTGGGTGCCCGACCGCGACGCATCACGCGGTAATCGTCTCCCCGCTCGTCCTCCTCGCCACTGGGGGGAGGCTTGTATCGTCATGGTAACTCTTCTTCACCCATGGTTGGCGGCGGGGCGATCGCCTCTGGCGGCTGTCGGAACGATCTGATGCGACAGAAGGAAACTCTTGGCTATGACAAAACTCATATTGAATACGATCAGATAGATCACCAGCGTCGCGCGGGTTTCCCCGCAGAGGATCATCATCGATTAATTCCATGGATGTCGGATTTCCAATCACCCGAGGATAGAGCATCGCATGTATTTCCTCATATGTTGCAGGAGTGGCACATAGAGTCTGAGTCCGCGGGCGTCCCCGCCATGCCAAAATCACCTGCGACGGGCGCGTGGAAGTTCTCGACAAACTCAATATCTGCAGGTTGCCCCGCGATGGGTGCACCCAGCCATTCTGCCAAATCGATGTCGTTGTGGCCAGTGAACACCTCCTCGAACAGCTCGTCGGCATAATTCTCGCGGGTCGTGCTGGCACTTAGATACCTGGCAGCCATGAAATGAACCATTGTGGCTGAGCCGCCGGCAGGGTCGGCTAAAAGCAACTCCCAACCAATGCACTGTATGTCGGAGTCATGAGCCACATGTATTGACGGACCCCTTCCATCACTTTGGGGCACTCGCGTCGGAAATGTTGTGTGCTGCGACATATGTCGCACTCCATAGTTTTACCGTTGGCATCATTTGGGTTCCCCCATCGTCCCCTGAAATATGCCTGCGGTTTCTGCCAGTGCCTAAGAACATTTCTTCATACGGAGGTCCCCTAAGAGACGCTACGAAGGCTAGTATGCCTCGACCATGTAATCACCGACGCTTACCTTTGCCTGTACTTCGACCCTTGCCTTTTCCTTTAAGTGACCGTCGTGCAATACGTCTTACGTTTCGGACTGGTTTCTTCATGAACCTCCGCCAACGACGCCTGTGTTTTTGATAGCCCAGAAGTAACCATTGAGCTTGTTGCTCTTCAGTAAGGCATGTAGGCAGATCAGAGCAATCCGAGGCGGCAGCTTCGTCATCGGAAGACGCATCCGCACCGGCATCGGGGTCGAAGTCGGACTCGGCGGGCTGCCCCGCTGAGCCCATTAGAGTCACAGCTTGTATAGGGGAAGCCGCGTCGGGCGGCCCCCTAGATCTGGCCGAGGAGTCTTGCGACCCCGAGGCCGTTCCACAATTCTGAGCCAACAGTGTAATGGTCTCAGTTGGCTGTGGATCATCGTTCCAGACGTTGTTAGCAGGTTGCCCTGCGTTGGCCTCTGCGTGGAAGGTCTCGGTTCGGTGACCGCGGCTAAAGATACCACCAATATTGCCAGGGGTCCTCTCAGCTATGTGAGCATATGACCTCATACGTTCAAGTAGAGCATCAACTTGTTATTGGTCCCTCGGCACGTGGTGGTTCAGAGGCTGCCGGAATTGTTGTGCACGCGATGTCCCCACTCCAAGAGCTCCGATTAGAATTACTGTTGGGATTTGGACGTCGGGGATATTGAAGCCGGCAGTTTGAGCTTCGTAGCGGGCTATCTCAAACCGTGCTAACGTCTGGTCGATACGTTCACCCGCATGGACTCGAAAGTCAATAGGAGCCGTGCCAGAGTTGAGTTGGCGTTCCTCTTCTAGGTTCTCGAATTTCGTGCTTAAGAGGAACATAGTATAGGTGACGCCGTCGGTGTGGCGACCGCCTATATTGACGCCAAAATTAATAAACTGCTGGGGGGACTCTCATGGCAATAGTCCGTGCGAGACCTCCCAAACCTCGCTGCAATGCTGCGGCTTGCTGGGAGGGCGTCATGTTGCCTGTGGTCACATCGATCCAGACATGTACTTCGCGGACGAACTCGCGAAATGGTACTTGACCGGCACAGTCCCAATGGGATCCAGTCGTTCTTGTGTCGTCTCCGCCCCGCATATGTCCTACTGCACACCCAATAGCGACCCAGATGAGCCCAAAGATAGCAACCCCAATCCAGTGGCCTCGTAAGTCGTAGTCGGATTGTGTCGTCCTAAGTCTGCGTGGGGTCGGCTGCGACAGTATGCCGTATCGCATGTTTCCATGCGTCACGTCTTCGAAGAAATTTCTAATTTTAGTAGGTGGGTGGATTTCAGGAGTGTAGTAGCGCAGGGATGTAAGATGTGAGTGAGAGACCTCCGCTTGGACAGAGGTCTCGCTGCAAGTGTTTTTGCGGTACTGCGTAGTTGTATACACTCCTCCGCGCAATCCCACTGCACCCTGATGTACCACCATATCTGTGATCCACCAGATGGTGCCGTGGATGGCGAGGAGTAGAGCTAGAGCTGACCACCATAGGCCAGCTCCGCTACTAAGTTTGAAGGGGGCGGGAAGGCCCAGCCAACAGCTTCGCCTCAGGCGAAGCCAAGCTCCAACTCTGTTGTACCGTGGTGACGATAGTCCCAGTATGAGAGGATATGCCATCTCAAGCAATAGGAATATCTGTTTGGTCTCGATAGCGATTGTGTGCCTCGCAATGAGACACAATCATATTTGGGCGGCCGGCCGCTTGAACCGACGCGGCCGCGGGCGCACGCTCGCTTCCACTCCTTACGTCCCTCAGCTCGCTTTAGAGTGTGGTTCCCTGAGCGCGGCGCGCATTCGTCTGAAATATTCGCAGCAAGCTCAATGATGAAGGGCGGGTCGTTTTCAAAAAGAGGCGCTCGCCTCAGAGCCACGCGCATGCGTCTCAAAAACTTGCAACAGTGTCACGGATGGATGGCTGCTCCTTTTCGACATGTGACTTTCGCCTTAGCGCAACGCGCATTCGCCTGACAAACCTGCAATCGTTTCAGGGGTTCAGTACGGTTGAAAGCCCAGGAATGTTATCCGGGTAAGACTTAGGATTGTTAGGGCGCAACAATCACGCTGGTCCGCGACGTTGAACAACAAGAACAGTGTATTGGCATGATTGAGGATTATGAAAAGGTTATCTCCCCACTTCCCCCAATGAAAACCTGTTGTTGCAGGAACCTGTGAAGAGGGCGTCTAAGTGTCCAGGCCGCCCCCCGACAGAAGGACCCAAGCCAGCAGAGATCGAGGTTTGCCAGGGGATGTGTTCCCAGGTGGACTCGACAATACCGAGGTTGGACGGTCACATGCCACCATTCGCCCTTCGCCTCTGACCTGCTGGCCCTCACTCGTGCATGACTCAAGAGGTGGTCAGATGCCAGAGGGAGCGGAGCCAGATGCGCTTTCTGAACTTGTTGATGGCCCAGGGGAGGATAAGTGGAACCCTGCCGCCCAACTCCTCACCAGCTTCGGTCTGGCTTCGGCGTCCCCGGAGTGTCCGGAGATCTGTGCCTGAGCATGTATGTTGTTTGGGGCGGGTGACATCGTCGCCTGCTTCCGCAGAGAACTGACCTGAACTGATGCAACTTAGTTTGGGTTGCACTGGTTCTCTTCCTCATCATCGTCCTCCTCCCGCCTCTTCCCCCCCTCTCCTCCCCGCCTCCTTCCCTCTCTCCTCCCCGCCTCTCCTCCCGCTTCTCCTCCCGCCTTCGCTTCTCCTCCTCCCGCCTCTCCGCCCCCCTGCCGCCTTCCCTCCCTGCCTCCTCGCGCCACCCCCGTCGCCTCCTCGCAACCTCTCCTCCCGCTCCTCCTCCAGCCGTCGCTCCTCCTCCCGCCTCTCCTCTCCCCTGCCGCCTTTTCCTCCTCCTGCGCAATGAGACAATACGAATACTGCCGTCCCCCGCACCATGAAACTGCCAGGAAGATCTCACACCCCCTCTGCGTGCTGATTTCTACTGATTTCTACACGCCAGATGTCACAGAGTGTAGTTGTCTTATGGCGTTTCACGGTCCAATCGTTTTCGGTGCTTCATAATGGTGCTTGCACTGCGGCGTGGGCCTCATTTTCGGATCGGCGCTTTGCTCCCGTCGTTCAGCATGGCGCTCTCCCCCTAGCGCGGACCACTGTTCTCGATCCGAGTCTGGGTTCATTGTGGTCCCCCCTCATTTCCCATCCTCCGTCTTCCCCTGGTCCTCGTGTTCATCCCGCTCCTTCCCCTCCAATTCCTGGTGTTGCTGTTCGTCTCGCCCCAGCGCGGGCAACTGCTCTGAATCCGAGTCTTTCTTCATCGTTTTCGCCCCCTGCAATCCCCTCTCCCGCCCTCCCCTGGCCCTCCTGTTACTCCCGTTCCGTCCGCTTTAGTTCATGCTGCTATTGTTCGTCCTCACCACCTCTTTCTCTTAAGCGCGCAATTCCTGTTTCTCCGCTTGCGCATAACATGGAATGATACTTCTGTGGGAGTCGCGGGCCGGCAGTGGCACGCGTCCGCGGATAGATAAGCATCGGCGTCATGGGAAAGGAGGGGAGGGAGGCATAGGATGTCAGATGAGGCGCGAACGCACCTAGCTTGCCCCCTCCCCCTCTCCCTCCCTCCTCGTCCCTCCTCCATACTCTCTCCTCCCTCTCCTCCTGCTCCTCCTCCTCCTCTTCATCCTCCTCTTCCTTCTTCTCTTATTCTTATTATTCTTCTTCCTCCTCCTCCTCCTCCTCTTTTCCTCCTCCTCCTCCGCCTCCGCCTCCTCCTCCTCCTCCTCCCCCTGCTCCTCCTCCTCCTCCTCCTCCTCCTCCTCCTCCTCTCCTCCTCCTCCTCCCCCTCCCCCCCCTCCTCCCCCCCCTCCTCCTCCTCCTCCTCCACCTCCTCCTCCTCCTCCTCCTCCCTCCTCCTCCTCCTCCCCATCCTCCTCCTCCTCCTCCTCCTCCTCCTCCTCCTCCTCCTCCTCCTCCTCCTCCTCCTCCTCCTCCTCCTCCTCCTCCTCCCTCCCCCCCCCTCCTTCTCCTCCACCTCCTTTTGTCCTCCTCCCCGTGTCTCTCTCCGCCTTCTCTCTCTCCTCCCCCTCCCTCCTCCCCCCTCCCTCTGCAGCACTGTAGCACTGTGAAGCGTGTCCCTCTTTCCTCCCTTCTCTCTCTTTCCTCCCCCGCCCTCCGAGGAGAGCAGGAGGATCCAGTGGCCCATGCTGTGCCCCAGGATGCGCGATTGCAGCCAGACCTCTCTGCGGGGGGAGGAGCCGCAGGAACACCCCCGGCCGCTTCGGATCCGCCGCCTGCCACGAGCTACGCACAATCAAGGCTAATATCGCGGGTTCGTGTCGCGTCGACCACTGGCGCTGGCTCCTGACAGCGCGGGGGTCGTTCAGCCTGGAAACGATCGGCCGTTTTTGAAACGTAAGATCGTTCGACATCGGCCAATTCTGGGTCGCCGGCGTCGGCGTTCATGGCTGAACGCCGGCGGCGGGGTCGCCGCTGGTCGACACGACGCGAACCTGCCGTAGTACGGCTGGGGTTTGGAAAGACACGTGCAACATCGGCCTCCGAAGAGCACGTCATCCCTGTGAAGCGATCCCCCCGCGAGGGCCCCTTGTGTGAGCGCGCTCCCTCTGCCAGGGCTTCTTCGGTGCACACTAACCAGCCTCGAACGTATCCCCATCCCTAAGATGGGCGAGCCAAAAGCGAGGACTATCTCAGGGAAATGCCCTCAGAAACTGAGGGCATCCTTAAGATCGGCATCGAGGCGAAGTGATGTCAAACATAGGGATAGGGATATGTTTCAAACTGGTAATATTCCCCAAATGATGGATCACGTATTGTAAGCGTGCCGGGGGCGCCAAATCGCACGCGATCCTTCCAACGCCAGTCTTGAGGATGCACAACACGGATGCAAGCCCCTTGGCCGCCCACGTCGAAGCTTTTCGAGCGGGACTGGCCATCGAAAGCAGCGGTTCAGGATGGACCGAAGAGAGAAGGAAACAAACAAGTCCTTGAGAAGACTACCCATCCGTGCTACGGAGCTCGACTGCACCTGATCGTGGACCCCTTGTTTCCCAATGGCCTTCGGCGGCAGTCTGACGGTCTCCAGCGGTCTTCGGCGTTCTTCAGCGGTCTTCGGGCGGACTTCGGCGCCATGATCGAGGAGGAGAGGGCGGCGAAGCAGCACTTGTTGACAACTGATACAGCCGTGTATATACATGTCCGCCGATCCGGAGTGTGAACTGCAAGGAGCCTCAGCAAGAGCTTCAGCTCTGGGCCTAAGCAAGAGCTTCAGCTCTGCCTGGGGGGGGTCGCTGGGGTGGCTCTACCGGGGAAGGGGGAGAGGGGAGGGGGGCGGTCCCCCATCTGTCGTTTTCTTATGTACCCATCAGTCGGAAGAAGTAGGTAGAAACATGAAGTAGGAAGGCGTTGGAAAAAGATTGGGTTTCCGCCCCGCCTCCTGAAGAGGAGGGAAGAGGGAAAACCACTCGACTCTTGAAGTAGGAAGGCGCTGAAAGTAGATTGGAATCTGGGAATCCAAAAATACGTACTTTCAACGACCGATGGGTAATGATTTGCGCATCCCCCAGATGTTTCGGGTGGTCCCAGGGACCCCCCCCAGATCTAGCCGCCACCGCCCCCCGGGCCCTCCCTTCGGAACCCTCGCCGGACCCCCCCCTGGGAGCTCTCCAGACACCCCCCCAGAGGAGAAGAAAGAGGACCGAACGAATCGAGGAGGGAAGAGGCCACAGAGCCGCGAAGATCACCGAATCTGGAGCCCCCTGGATCGGCGGCACTGGCCAGAGGCCATTACAATATATATATATATGTGTATATATACATACATATATGTATACATACATACAGACATACAGACCTACAGACCTACAGACATACAGACATACAGACATACAGACCTACAGACCAACATACCTACAGACATACAGACATACAGACATACAGGCATACAGATATACAGACATACATGCATACATGTATATGTGTACATATGTTGCTGTTTCACTTGTGGAAGATTCCTTGATCTCCAGGTACCTCCGGCCCCATGCAGGGGGGCGTACGCTGAGGGGCCTGCTCCAGATTGTGCGACGCCGTGCAAGGATGGCATACCTGCCGCAGGCAGGTCACACGTAGAGCGTAACTCCTTCAGGAATCTGCAAACCATCGCTGGTTTCACGTACGGCACACTTCTGGCACAGCGTTCCGACGAGTAGCATCAGTCCTCCAGGCAGGGAGGCGGCTGATACTTGGGGTCGGATCTCTACGAACATGGCTTACAGGCAAACCACATCGGATCACTACTCCAGATTTCGTAATAAAAGGGAGGGGGTCTGAACCCTCCAAGACAAGCCATTTCAGACGTCCCCCGTGGGAGAACCCTCCAAAACATCGTCCCCAGACCCCCCCAGGCCCTCCAAGATAGCCTGGAAGAGACCCCCCCCGAAATGAGTCCCCCCTCCCTTTATTATGAAATCTGGAGTATGTGTCCAATATGCGGGCGTAATCACGCAGAACGTCTTCGCTGGAACCTTCGAGAACATAGGGCTTGCACGGGATCGCATCTGTCTCCAGCACCAAGCTTGAGAAGGGCGAGCGGGAGATGCGTCAGCATGCGACTGTCGGTCCAGCGCTTCCCAAAGAGGCGCCGAGAAGGACAAACAGGAGTTGGGCCAGGAAGAACCAGATGAGACGCTGGGAAGAAAGAAACGCGGCAAACATCATTCGAAGTGACGAAGGCAATAAAGCAATCACTAGTCTGGCGCAGCCCCCACATATCAACTAGCGCGCGCCCCCCACCCCTGCATAAGTGGTAAGGTGCCCCCCACACGATGGGCTCGCGGGTAGGAGGGCGGGCCAGGACGGTGAGGGGTTTGATTTGGTGCCCATGGGGGTGGTGTGGTGGTGGACTGTCGTGGAGGGCGGCAGTGTTCTTCTCACTGTCCCAGTGCGAAGGACGAGGCGAGGGAAAAAAGAGGGATGAGGACCCCATGCAACCCAAGCGCGCATCACTGACACGCTGCAACGACCCACTGGGGTCGAACGCCACCCCCGATTCTGGTGAAACCGTGCGGCTTCTGCGACGCGTTGTTCCAGTATCGCGGTCCATCGCCGCGACGCCTAGCGCCTAGGCCCTGGGCGGCGAGAACCTGCCAAAAACCGTAGAACAGCACTGCTTCGACGGTCACGGATCAAGGGATCTGAGAAAGTATCCAGCGACACGCCCAGCTCGGCATTGCCAAGTCTGGTGGGAGGGAGGAGAAACTTCAATCCATAGAGGTGTGTGTGTGAGGGGGGGGAAATGAGGAGCAAGAGAAGAAAGGGGAAGGGGAAAGAGGATTAGCATGAGCATGAGTGACGAGGGGAGGGGCAGGTCGAAGGGAGAAACAAAGGGAGGACAAGGGGGGAATGATCAAGGAGTGGCCAGAAGGGAAGAAGGACCTGAAAACGGACAACCGGCGCCACCACCGGTCTTGCATGTAGAGCGTGGCTTTCCCGCACAAGCGAGTTGGAATTCACCATCGACTTCTCCGACGGAGACCTGTCGTCCGCAGGCATCTCCGTGGATCGCCCGTGGCGACCTCCGAAAACGGTGAAGCCGCGCTTCCTCCGGGGGCCAATCGTCACGACCACGAGTCGACTCTAGAAGAACTTTGTCAGGTTATGAGGGAAAGACAACATGCCTCTGAAACGGCTGCACGAAAGTCAGAGGCGGCCACAACACACGTCATGCACTCAAGCCCGTGTCCAGATCAGATCCCACAAGCTCTTTAGGGCGTATGTGGATGAGGTTTCGGGAGTTGCCTCTTCCACCCCCCCTCTCCCCCTTCGGGGAGAGGCTTATCACTGCTCCCTGTTGATATACACCCCGTCACCCACCCGACTGGCGACACACCCAAGACAATGCGCCCGCCCCCCCCCATCCCCGTCAAAAAACAATGCAAGATGCACGTTGTGGCAAGCTCTTTTGTCAGACTCGGGGGGCCCGCGAGCACCCTGTACTGTTCTTTGATAGGGGCGGCGGGGGAGACAGCACATGGCCTGCTGCGCGCAGGGCCGCCACCACTGTCAAACATTAGCCTGACGAAGGACCCAACCATATGCAGATGCGAGTATCGCGAGGCAGGTGAGGCTAAGGATGGGGGCCAGCAAAAGCACTGTCGGGCGCCATGCGGACCCTGCCACTGGGGCCTTCGGTGGAACTCCCTATGAGGCCACGAGCCGTGTGAGGGGTGTGCCAGAATGGGCGTCGGGCGCATGCAGACCTTGCCACTGGGGCCTTAGGTGGAGCTCCATGGGGCCACGAACCGTGTGAGGGGTGTGCCAGAACGGGCGTCGGGCGTATGCGGACCCTGCCACTGGGGCCTTCGGTGGAGCTCACTATGGGGCCACGAACCGTGTGAGGGGTGTGCCAGAATGGGCGTCGGGCGCATGCGGACCCTGCCACTGGGGCCTTCGGTGGAACTCCCTCCCGATGGGGCCACGAACCGTGTGAGGGGTGTGCCAGAATGGGCGTCGGGCGCATGCGGACCCTGCCACTGGGGCCTTCGGTGGAGCTCCCTATGGGGCCACGAACCGTGTGAGGGGTGTGCCAGAATGGGCGTCGGGCGCATGCGGACCCTGCCACTGGGGCCTTCGGTGGAACTCCCTCCCGATGGGGCCACGAACCGTGTGAGGGGTGTGCCAGAATGGGCGTCGGGCGCATGCGGACCCTGCCACTGGGGCCTTCGGTGGAGCTCACTATGGGGCCACGAACCGTGTGAGGGGTGTGCCAGAATGGGCGTCGGGCGCATGCGGACCCTGCCACTGGGGCCGTCGGTGGAGCTCACTCCCTATGGGGCCACGAACCGTGTGAGGGGTGAATGTGCCAAAATGGGCGTCGGGCGCATGCGGACCCTGCCACTGGGGCCTTCGGTGGAGCTCCCTATGGGGCCACGGACCGTATGAAGGGTGCGCCAGAATGGGCGTCGGGCGCATGCGGACCCTGCCACTGGGGCCCTCGGTCGAGCTCCCCATGGGGTCACGAACCGTGTGATGGGCGTGCAGGAATGAGAGAAGGGAGGAGCGGGAGGAGTAGAGGAGGAGGAGAGGAGGAGAGGAGGAGAGGAGGAGAGGAGAGGAGGAGGAGGACGCGGGCGCTGTTTCTGCAAAACAAGGACCCAACACCACAGGGTGGTTGGACTCCCCGTTATCACGTTGCATTGGTTTTGATGAGGATTGCCTGCTGCATGCAGGCCCACCAGGCATCATCATGATGGCCGCTGCGCGTTGGGCTTCGACAAGGACGGTGGGGGCCGACAACATGTTTCCCGACGTGCGCTGGCACGCGTGGCACACTCTGCGCGACCCCCCAAACGTGGCGCACCTTGCGCAGCTGGAGCATGCGGCACACGTGGCGCACATGGCGCATCTGGCGCACCAGGCGTGCCTGACACGCTTGGGCCACAGGGGCGTATGGCGCGCCTTGTGCGCCTTGCACGCGTGGCGCGCCTCGCCCCAACGTCACGCACACCTGGGGTCTGCTTTAGTTCCCAATACCTGTCTTTCCACAGACGACCGCTGAATATGCTGAGACTCGTGTGCTACTTATGTGTTGGGAGGTCGGGCGGGAGTGAGCCAAGCGGGGTGCGTCTGGGAGAAGTGTCTTGACACTGCTGTCCACTAATAAGAAACCCCTCCCCCAGGCGACCGACGGGTCACCCGAACCAACGCCCCCCCACACCATCCCTGGCAAAAGGCAATACAACACACACGTTGGGGCAACATCTTGGATCATGCCCGTTGGCCCCGAGACCACTCGAGATTGCGTTTGCCAAGTCTGGCAGGGGGGTCAGCGTAGTGTCCGCTGTGCGCAGGACCACCATCCCTGCCAACAGAAATGCAATCCCCACTAAACATGTATCATGCGCGGCCGCCCCGCGATCACTATCCATTGGTTTTTGGCAGGGACAGCGGGGATGCTGGCATATTGCCTGCTGTGTGTAAGCCCATCAGACACACTGGTAGCCACCCCGCCGCGATTGCGCATCGATTTCCAACGAGGGTGGAGAGGGCGGACACGTTTCCCGATGTGTACTGCACGTGCGCAGGCGCACCTGGTACACTCTGCGTGTGCCCCGGACGTGGCGCACCTGGCGCGGCTGGAGCACGGGGCACACTTGGCGCACGTGGAGCACATTGCGCATCTGGCACACCAGGCGTGCCTGGCACCTTTGGGCCAAGGGGTGCCTGGCGCACCTGGCGCCCGTTGCGCGCCTGGCACGCGTGGCGCACCTCGCCCCAAAGTCGCGCACACGGGATTGTTTTGGTTCCCAGTAACTGTCCATCCAAAGGCGATCTCCGAACATGCTGAGACTCGGGTGCTGCGTGTGTGTTGGGAGGGCGGGTGGGAGTAAGCGAGACGGCTTGCGGGCGGGAAGGTGTCTTGACCCCTACCCCTACCCATCATCCCCTGTGTCTGGAAGGAGGGGGGCGGCGAGGCATCGGAGCATCCAAGATGGCCCAAAATGCCTCCATGAAGACCTGAGAGAGCCCATGATGACCTCCAAGAGGGTTGAAGATACCTCGAGGTGGCTCAACATGGCTTCCAACATGTTCTTGAATCTCCAAGACTGCTCCAAGACTGGTCCTAGTGGCCTTGGAGCTTCTCTATGACGCCTCCAAGAGGCAAAGATGCGTTTCTCCGATTCGCTTCCGATGGGCTTCGGGAGCCTTACGGTGGCTCCAAAATGGCCCAGTAGGGCCCCCAAAGGGGCCAAGAGGGCCGCAAGACGGCCCCACGACATCCCCAAGAGGGGCCCAAGAGGAGATGTCAGGGGCTATGAGGGGTGGCGCTGATTCAAGACCTTTGATCGCTGACCTCCGAGATGGCTCAGAGAAGAGCCGCAGGGCACCCAAAAGGGCCCCAAGAGAGCCTCAAGACGGCCCCAAGAGGGCCCCAGAAAGGGCACCAAAAGGCTTCAGCATTTGAAGCAACAAGGTCCCAAGATAACCCAATGAAGCTCCCAAGAAGATCCCGCCTCGAGAGATCCGCGAAAGCATTTATGGTTAACTCCTGGGCCTGCTCTGGCTGATCCCGATCTTCGGTTTGACTGACGCACCCCCCCCTCTTTGTTCCACTGCGTGGTCCCACACTTCCCCGATCAATGCAACTCGCCTGGGCATCGTTGCTGGATGGGCTGGTGGAGATGTTTTTTGATAAGCGGCCCGCAAGGAAAAGTCCAGAGGGCGTGAGTACCGAGCTGGTGGAGATGCGCGAAGCGTCAAGAATTTCAGAACAAACTGACCGAGACGACGTCCCCACTAGTTACCCATCCCCTCTCTCGCGAGCCAACCACGCGGCGGCCGAGAAGGCTATCACTCCAAACGGGCTCGGACTCAAAGCTGAAGCTGGAGCCGGAAGACGCTCCAGAAGCAAATGCGACTAGAACGCCAGGTCAAGCCGTCAAGATCGCCGCGTCGAGGCTCGCGTCGAGCTGTAGATGCCAGAATCGGTCCCAACACTGCTTACGGGAGGAAGGGGAGGGGTCTCGTCCTTTCCACCAGTCCAGTGTCCCTCCCTCCGCGGATGGGGAACGAGAAGGACGAGGACGAAGGCGAGAAGGACGATGACGACGACGACGACGACGACGAGGGCAAGAAGCACGGGGGGGGCGAAAGTGTGGCTCCAAATGAGAGGCGGGCAATTCGGAGACCAGAGGCCTCCGGAGGTCTCCAGAGGCCATATATATATACACACATACATACATACACATACAAGACGGCATTGGCGCTTCGCGCCATGCGCCTTGTTCCGGACGCTTCCCTGGCAAAACAATAAATCATCGCTTGCTTCAGCAGGGAGGACCTCGAAGCCTGGACGGGCGACCCGCCCATATTTCCGATATCCCTGGTGCCTGCTGACACCGCGTTCGGACGATGCGCTTGCACGCTTGTGCGCAGGAGTCGGGAAATCATGCTGATTTGTTCACGCGCGAAGGTCCTTTGAGCAAGTAAGGAGCATTCCCATGACACGCCGAAGAAGTCACAGTAGCTCCGAACACATAGATTGTGGGTCGCCTCCTGAATGCCTGGGGGGCTCCAGACACTCAGGAAATTGTCGATCGTCGAATTTCGAATCTAGATCCATTGCCTGTCTCTCTCGATCGGGGAACTACTGAAACCTCGAGCCTCAAGCGTGGAACCAAGATCGTCGGGTCAGCTTGATGTATTTCGTAGGAGAACGCCGTCTGGTCGTTTTTAGAGCTCTTTTGGGCCGTCCTGGGGTACTTTTGGGCCTTCCTGGGGGCTTCTTGGGCCGTCTTGGGGAGCTGGGGCCCTCCAGAGGTCTTCTGAAGCCATCTAGGGCCCTCTTGCGGACCTCCAGTGGCCTTCCTGGAGGTATTCCATGGCTTTCGTGGGTTTCTCTTGGGAGCCTTCTGGGGGCATCTTGGGCTTCTTGTGGGCAGTCTCGGGGCTCTCTGGGGCAGTCTTGGGGCCCTCTTGGGCCGTCTTCAAACCCTCTAGGGGGCCTCTTGGGCCGTCTTGGGGCGAGATCGGGGGCCCATTGGGCCGTCTTGGACGCTGCGAAGACCCCAAAAGCGGATATGCAAAACAAATGTATTTCCTTAGGGAATGTGCCGATTTTGGCTTCTTCGGGGCTCTCTTCACGGCCTCTTGGGATGTCTTAGGGGCCTCTTGGGCCGTCTTCAGACCATCGAGGTTCCTCCTGGAGCGCTTTTGTGCTGTCTTGGGTCTCTCTTGCGCCTCTCCGACGACACCTCTGATCGCCTTCAGTCGGCTCGCAAGGCCCAGCGAGGCGCCCTGGGAGGCCCGGAAGGACCACCGAACCTTTTCCAAGGGCGTCCAGGGGGCCGCTGAGACGTCCGAAAGGGCGTCCGGAGCGTCCCTGGGGGGGGTCCGGTTTAGGGGGGTCCAGGTAATTAAAATGTGCGAATATGTAGATATATATGACTATATATATATAACATATATATATATATACACATACTTGTATAGAAATATGTATATATACATGTATGTATGTACATCGATTCATGCATACATGCATACATGCATACATGCATACATGCATACATGCATGCATGCATGCATGCATGCATGCATGCATCCATCCATACATACATACATACATACATACATACATGCATGCATGCATGCATGCATGCATGCACACATGCATACAAACCTACATAAACACATGCATGCATCCATGCATACATATACATACATATACATACATACGTATACGTACCTGTACATGCACATACATACATGTACATACATATGCATACATATACATACATATACAACCATACATACGTATATGCATGCATGCATGCATACATGCATGCACGCATACATTCATACATGCATGCATGCATACATGCATACATTCATACAGTCATTCATTCATTCATTCATACATTCATACATACATACATACACATATGTATACACATGCATACATACACGCATTGATGCATACATACAGACATATCATCATACATGTATATACACACACACACACTTCGGGTGTTGCCAGAGGTGTCCCTGGCCCGTCCGAGGTGTTCCCAGGATTCCCAGGACGGCTCCGCGGAATCCAGGGCACCCCTCGCAGGGGCCCAGGGGGCCCCCATGGGGGCTCCAGGATGGCGCGAAAAGCTGGGGACACCCCGGGCAAGACACACTTCTGGCAACACCCTCATACTGCCACCGCTGTACTGCCCTGACCCCGCCCGGGGCGCTTCAGAGCCAAGGCTCCGAGGCCGAGTCCAGCCGTGGACGGGTCGAGGGCACGAGGCCCCCAACACAAGGAAGACTGGGGGCGAGAGAGGCGGGCCATCGGCATCGCCGATACCGACGGCCCGCCTCCCTCTCCCCCCCTCCCTCTCCCCCCCTCCCTCTCCCCGTGTCGGAGCCGAGTGTCGACGCCGAGTGTCGTTGCCGAGTGTCGGCGCCGAGCGTCGGCGCCGAGCGTCGATGCCGAGTATCGATGCCGAGTGCCGGTGCCGATCGACGTTGCCGCGCTGAGTGTCGGCGCCGATCGTCGTCGATGCGGGGGGTCTCTAAAGAGCTGCCTCCCGGACACACGCAAGGTGTCGGTGTGCTTCTCCCTGGAGGTGCATTCGTGGGAGTGGCCACTGTCCCCTGTCCTCGTCGGCGACTCTGCCGTGCGGTCTCCGGAGAGAAAGCGACTCGCCGCCCATGACATGCCGGCGCCGCAGCCGCGGCGCGGGCCCCGAAAACGGAGCGGGGCCGCGCCAGACTCTTGGACAAACCGAAACGGCTGCGGGCGGGACCTGAGGGGAGGGAGGGGAGGGAGGGAGGGACCAGGACCAGAGGGGAGGGAGGCTCGAGGGAGGGAGGGGAGGGGAGACCCGAGGGGAGAGGAGGGAGGAGGGAGGGGAGACCTGAGGGGAGGGAGGGGGGGGGGACCAGGACCTGAGGGGAGGGCGGCCCGAGGCTCGAGAGTCGATGCTGTGGGGGGGGCGCGTTGCTGCACTGGTGGCCGTCTGGGGCGCCTGCGTCGCCACGGCGGTACGGCCCCCGGAGGCCAGGTCCAAAAAGACCTCCTGGAGTGGTACGGGGCAGAGGTTTTTGAGGAGCGGGCGGTGCGAGAGAGGAGGACGAGGGAGGGCGCAGGACGAGGGAGAGAGGAGGACGAGGGGCGTGAGAAAGTGGAAGGACGGAGGAGGCAGGACGGGAGCATGGAGGAGAAACGATTCGTGGGACCAAGTGGGCAAGCGAGGATGAAGAGGAGGAGGAGGAGGAGGGAGACGGGGAAAAGGGGGAGGAACAGGCGGAATGAGCACGAGAGGGCGAGAATGGGAGGCGAAAAGGAGAGGGATAATGCGGGGTGAGGGACGCGGAGTTGGGGAGTGCGGGGAAGAAAGAGGAAAGGGAGGATGGATTACAGGAGGTGGGGGCAAGCTAGGTGCGCTCACACCATACATGGCATTCCACTCCTCCCACCCATCCCTTCCCATTGTTCTGAATGTTCTATATTCCACGGACGGGCGTCACAGCGGACCTGGAACTGCACACACACAATCCAACCACATGATGCAAACCGGAACACGGGAGCTGCGCACACAGGAGGAGGTGGCAGATGAGCAGGAGGGTGAATAGAAAGAAGAGGACGAGGACGAGGACGAAGAAAAAAGACGAGGACGAGGATAATGAGGAAGGAAAAAAACGAGGACGAGGACGATCTGCAGGAACCGGAGTGGACGGAGCGGGAGGGCAAGGAGAGCCCAGGGAAGGCGGCGAAGGGAAGGGGGGGGCGACAGCGAGGAGGAAAGACTCGGAGCCAGAGAGGTGGCCCGCGCTGGGGCGAGGGCGCCATTCTGAATGACGGGGGCACAGCCTCGATCCTGAAATGAAGCTCGCGATGCAGCGGGAGCACCATGTTGGAACGACAGGATATCCGAGGATGGGGAAATCACACAGTTCTCCGGGCGAAAGACCCAACAATACGCGGGTGCGAGTACCACAAGGCAGCCGGGCGAAAAAGGGGCACCTGCCTATGAGGCAGGCTACGACAGGTGTGAAAAGTGTGCCGAACTGGGCGCGGCGGCGCCATGCGAGCCCTGCCATTGGGGCCTTCGATGGGGCTCCATCTGGGTCCACGGAGCGTGTGAGGGTTGTGCCAGAATGAATGCGGTGGCGCCACGCGGACCCTGCCACTAGAGCTTTCGTTGAAGCTCCCTATGGGGCCACGAAACGTGTGAGGGGTGTGCTGACATGGGCGCGGTGGCGCCATGCGAAACCTGCCACTGGGATCTTCCGTGGGGCTCCCCATGAGGCCGCGAACCGTGTGAAAGGGTAGCCGTACCCTGCCACCGTAGCCCTTCATGGAGCTCCCGATGGGGCCACGGAACGTGTGAACGGTGTGCCGACGCGGACGCAGGCAAACGTTGCCACTGGGCTCCTTATAGGGCCACGAAGTGGGCGCGGTGGCGCCACGCGAACCCTCCCAGTGGGGCCTCTGGAGGAGCTCCCGATGGGGCCACGAAACGTGTGAACCGTGTGTCGACGCGAGGGCGGTGGCGCCATGCGAACCCTGCCACTGAGGACTTAGGTGGGGCGCCCTATGAAGCAACAGAACGTGTGAGGTGCGCGCCTTAATCGGCGCGGTGGCGCCATTAGAAATCTGCTGGCGTTGTTGAAAATAACGACCATCTTGTGATTACGTGCATCCACGGATGTTTGGCCTTATCGTCGCTTTGCGTTTGTCCAGCACGTTTGAAACACTGGCCGTCGGGAGCATCGTCGTCAGCACCCCCGCCGCCATCGTCACCATCATCCTCCACCCTCCCCTTCCCCTCCACCTCCCCCTGTAGGGCAAAGCTGATTCGAGGCCCCTCGTCGCCGCTGCACGCGGTCAGTTTTGCAGATTTGGGGGGAAGGGGGGGAGGGGGCAAGGGGGGGGGGGGAGAGAGGGGGCAGGGAGGGGGGGGGAGGGAGCAGGAGCGGGGAGGAGGGGGGAGGAGATGGAAGGGGGGGATTAGGCGACAATGGCGGTGCTGAATATGCCGATGACGATGGCGATTCGGAGGATGAGGATCACGGGGGTGAGGATCCCAAGAAGGAGGAGGAGGCGGAGGAGGTGATTAATGTGGACCACGAAAACGTGGATGAGGAGGGGGACGTTGGCGAGGGTGCGGATGGTGACGAAGAGGAAGTGGATGATGATGACGACGACGATGATGATGATGATGACGACGATGTTGATGATGGTCATAGTGATGATGGTGATGCTGATTGAAAGGCATTGATCTTTGGGATGCCCCTTAATCCATTTCTGCACTGATGAAGAAGGTGAGGAGGGGGATGTTTATGAGGGCGCGGAGGGTGACGACGAAGAGGAAGCTGACGACGATTGAGGGGCATCCATTTTTGGATGCCCCGCAATCCACCCCTGCACGGATGAGGGCGTGAGGACGGGGATGCTGGTCAGGGTGCGGGTGGTAACCGAAAGGAGGTGGATGATGATGATGATGATGATGATGATGATGATGATGATGAGGATGATGATGGTGATGATGATGATGACGTGGATGATGGTGGCGTTGATGCTGATGACGGTTATGGTGATGGTGATGGTGATGATGAGGATGATGTCGATTGAGGGGCACCCCGATGACGATGACGATGATGATGGCGGTGATGATGGCGATGCTGATGCTGATGCTGATGCTGATGCTGATGATGATGATGATGATGATGATGATGATGATGATGATGATGCGTGCGGATGGTGACGAAGAAGATGCGGGCCAAGATGAGGAGGGGGGGCTTGCGAGGAGCACAAGCGAGAGGAGGATGGAGGACTGACGATGGAGGCAGGACAAGGGGAGGCGGGAGAGGGAAGCGGAGACGGGAGCGCGAGGGGAATGATGATGATGATGATGATGATGATGATGATGATGATGATGATGATGATGATGATGAAGATGATGATGATGGTGATGGTGATGGTGACGATGATGACGCGCGCGGATGGTGACGAAGAAGATGCGGATCAAGATGAGGAGGAGGGGGAGGAGGCTTACGAGGGGCACGAACGAGAGGAAGATGGAGGACTGACGAGGGAGGCGGGAAAAGGGGAGGCGGAAGAGGGGGGCGGAGACGGGAGCGTGAGGGAAAGCTAAATTTCTGCAAGCTGCCATCTCTGTCTAGAGAGTGCTGGGCCGTGCATCGGCGGGGCCGCGCAGAGAATCTGCATTCCTACTGGAGGGGTGCGTGACGGGGTCGCGCAGTGAATCTGCATTTTACTGGAGGGGTGCGTACTAACCACATTATATCGAGTATGATTTGGTAAGTCTTCTCCCAGGAGCGTCGATAATCATCCCTGTCCTTGTCGTCGTCGCCACCCGTCTGTCACTGTTTAGCTTCGGAGCGCATCCTGTGGTATGCTTCTGGTATGCACAGGTTGCACAGGTACGCCACCAGGGCAGATGTCAGAACACATGGATCACACATGGGATGATCATTTCCTCTCACATCCAGTGCTCGCCGTTCGCATCATAGCAGGGCAATCGTTACGATTGTGAGGGGTCTCTCGCGCTGCATTTGGCGAGACTGGCAACCAGGGCACGGCCACGCGCAATGCAATGTGTGAGGCGAAAACCTGTGTGCAAAAAGCTTCGTGCGTCGTGCATCGGAGGATGCATGCGTTGACCGGCCGGTGAAGGACTCCAGCGGCCTGCTGCCGCAAAACAACTTAGAGACAACACAATCGACCATGACATACATTATGTCGATGGTCGTTATTATGAACGACGCCGGTGCCACTGGGGCGTTCGGATGCTTTCGGTGGGGCTCCCGATGGGGCCATGAAACGTGTGAGCGGTGTGCCGAAAATGCTGCGGAGGCGCTGTGCGAACCCTGCCACTGTGACAGTCGGTTGGTCTCCCCATTGGGCAACGAAACGTGTCAAAGGGGTGCCGAAACGGGCGCGGTGGCGCCGTGCGAACACTGCCACTGGGGCCTCTGGTGTAGCTCCCTATGGGGCAGCAAAACGTGTGAGGGGTGTTCCGGGATAGGTGCGGTGGCGCCATGCGAGCCCTGCCGCGGCTGCCTTCGGTGGGGCTCCCTATGGGGCCACGAAGCGTGTGAGGGGTTGCTGACAAGGGTGCGGTGGCGCCGTGCGAACCCTGCCGCTGAGGCCTTCGGTGGGGCTCCATGAGGGGCAGCGAAACGTGCGAAGGGGGGTTCTCGGATAGGCGCGGTGGCCCCATGCGTACCCTGCCACTGAGGCCTTCGATGGGGCTCCCAATTGGACCACGGAGCGTGTGAGGGGGTGTGCCGAAAATGGTGCGGCGGAGCCATTCAAAACATGCGACTGGGATCTACGGTGGGAATCCATCTGGGGCCACGAAACGTGTGAGGAGCGTTCCTTAATCGGCGCGTTGGCGACATGCGAACCCTGCTAGTGGGGCTTTCGGTGCAACTTCCAATAGGGCCACGAAACATATGAAGGGTGTGCCGACATGGGCGCGGTGGCGCCATGCGAATCCTGCTACTGTGAATTCGGTGGGGCTCCCTATGGGGCCACACAACGTAGGAGGGGTGTGCCGAAATGGGCGCGATGACGACATACGAACCCTGTCACTGAGGACTTTGGTGGGGTTCCCTACGTGGCAAAGGAACGTGTGATGGGTGTGCCGACATGGCCGAGGTGGCGCCATGCGAACCCTGCCACTGAGGACTTCGGTGGGGCTGCCTTTGGGCCACGGTGCATGTGGGGGGCGTGCCGAAGTCGGCGCGGTGACGCCATGTGAACCCTGGCACTTGGGCCCCTGATGGGGATTCCTATGTA